CTGGTTACGGGTGAGTGGCACTCACTGGGTCTTTCATGTGACGGCAGGCAGATGTTCCTGGGGTGAATGAGACCAGAGAAAAAGGTCAGGGTGTGACCCTAGAAGATTTGTGTGCCTGATTAAAGAACCTGAACTTTAAAACACAGTCAACGGGGATTCCTGGAAGAAGTTTGAGCAAAAAAGTGAGGTTATTAGCTCTTTCATGAGAAAATAATGAGAAGCCCTGTAGGGATGGGCGAGGGAGAGCCCGAGGGGTGCAGGTTGTTAGAAGGCCTGGGGGTGGGCAGCGGCCACCCCCGTGGGTGGGGGGTGAGGGCTGAAGTGCAAGGACATGGCCACTTTGGTATTCAAAGGCACCTCACAACCGAATATCCAAGACCGAACCCGTCATCTCTCCTGGATGAGCCCCACTTCCAGTGTTTACTTTCTCAGTGAAGGGCAACCACAGTCTATCTGGTCGTGCAAGCCAGAACCCTCGGGTGGAGACCGAGAGCGTCATGTGTTCATGATTCCTCCTTGCCCTCACTTTCCTGGGGCGGAGTCTGATTCCCTGTCCCACTGTCTTTGCCCCTTGCCTCTTGGCATCCCTGGGCTGATGGTGTATGAGCAGACCCTTCTCAGGCCTTGTCTCACCAGAGTTTTGAAATGCGCTAGTGTGTTTTGGCTTGGCCTGTTGCCCTTCCTCTGTCCACCATGGAAGAGCTTGCCTCAGGTAACTGCAGCTTCTAGAATGAGAAATACACGCATCAGGACTTCCCTGGCGGTCCAGTGGCTAAAACTATGCACTCTCAGTGAGGGGGCCTGGGTTCCATCCCTAGTCAGGGAACTAGGTCTCACATGCTGCAACTAAAGATCCTGCATGTGAAACTAAGACCCAATCAGTTCAGTTCAGTCACTCAGTCATGTCCGACTCTTTGCAACCCCACGTACTGCAGCACGCCAGGCTTCCCTGTCCATCACCAACTCCCAGAGCCTGCTCAAACTCATGTCCATTGAGTCAATGATGCCATCCAACCATCTCATCCTTTGAGATGCCGTCCCCATCTCCTCCCACTTTCTATCTTTCAATACAGCCAAATAAATGAATTTTCAAATTCTATTAAAAAAAAAGAAATACATGGATCCCAACTAACCTGAGACCTACAACAAAGAGAAAGAAATGATTACTGTAACCACGGAGAATTTGGGTTATTCAATATTACAGTGGAAACCACTGACAGCTGTTTGTTATTCCACTGCGGTGCAAACCTAGTCAGTATAATTATCTTGTACTTCCATATCTACTCCTCCATTTAGTGCTGTCAGTTTATCTCAGTAATATCTCTGGAACCTAATCACATCTCTCCGTCTGCAAGACCACCATTATTTTAGCCCAAGCTCTGGCCCATTTTTCGCCTGGACCTCGGCAAAGCCTCCCGCCTGGTCACAGCCCTCTGGCTCTGGCCCCTTGGCGTAGAGCTCTCTACCCTGCAGCTAATATGACCTTTGAAAAGGACCAGCCTCATTTTAAAGAGTCTCACCAATCTCTTGGGCCAGCTGATGCTTTGATTCTCACTCTGCACTGACTATGGGGGCTTCCTTATTCACGGTGCCCCTGTCCCCATCGGGGTACATCCAGGTTACCATTTCACCATGACCTCTTGCGGACAGAACTGACACATGTCAGGAGCCTTTGAACCAAGGGGGACAGTCTGCTTGGGCTGAACAAAGGGTGAAGTCCCTCTTGCTGGGCTCAGGATGTGGGGAGAGCATGCTGAGAGAATGATGGCCCCTCAGCCCAGGATCTCCCAGCCATGTTCTCTTCCAGGGTATAGACAGGCTGCCACGTGGGCCAGGGTCCCACCTGGTGCTTCTGGAGCAGAGAGTGGGCGATCCCTTCATGCCCTCCTCTCTGTACGGTTCCTGCAGGCCAGTAAGTCCCTCTGGCCTCGTGCTCAGGCTCCCCCCGCCCACCATACAGTCTGGGTTAGGTCTGCTCACTGTAGATGAACTTCAGCCCCTGACGTTCAGCCCCTGGGACGTTGCCTTTTGATTCTCTGGATGCTCTGCGCTTACAAATCAGAGCTCCGGCTCTCAAAGCTTTTATCTCTGGACCAGAAGCCCATGGCCAAACCTTGACCCTGTCTTTTGTCTTTGCCATTCAGGAAAGCATAGCCTTCATCCTCCCCTAGGAAGAGCCATGCAGGTTTAGGAGCTCAAAAAAGAAAGGCACAGTAAGACGTGAACAGGTCTGAAACATATCCTAGTGCCTGATAACGTCATTGTCCGTCTCACTTAAGACTACTCAATGGCTTCCTGCTGATCTTAAGAATGAAATCTTAATTGTGGCCCCAGAGAGCCTGAATGGTCTGGCTTCCGGCTTCCCTTCCAACTAATCATCCCCTCCAGCCCCTCCAGCCTGCTTTCCATGCCTCGAGCCACACTCCCTGCTCTATTGAGTTCTCCTTCCTCTAGAAAGCCCCTCTAGCCCTCCTTCCCCCACCCCTACCACCCCCCCAACCCCCTACCCCTCCAATCCCACCCCTCCCCTGCCCACCAGGCAAGAGCCTGTGATAAACTCCCATAGCCTCTCTCCTTTTGAGGAGTTCCTTTCACTTGCTGGGTTATTTGGCCACCATCTCTGGCTCTCTGAGTCTGTAAGCTGTGAGAGAACTAGTATGTAGTTGTCTTTTTCATCATGAGTTTTTCTTTAGTGAATGAATAAATGAATGGGATAGATGGATAAAAGGATGGATGCAGGGGTGGTGGTTACTGGTTAAAGGCAATCTCGTATCTCTGGGTCCTAATCCAATTTGGTTCATCAGAGAACAGACCCAGCCTGATGAATGGTTGGAACATTAGCTGCCTATTTGGGTTTGAAATGGAAAACTTAAATCCTTCTAAATCACTTGGTCCCACCCACTGGACATATTACCGATTACTGTTTTTCTTTTGTGCTGGTCCTCAAGATCTTTTACTAAAATTCCAATAATTCTAGGAGACTTCAGTCCTCGAGGGCTATATTTCAGGCAGCAGAATTCATAGCTGAGCCCTGGAGATGAGAGGAGAAGGAGGATGGGGAAGCCAGAGAAATGAGAGGTGGGGAAAGGGGACAGATGACCAGGGAGTCTCTAAGAGGGAGTCGAGCCAGAGAGGGCATCGTCAGCTTCTCAGATTTGCCAAGATCTCATCCTCTTACTTTAAAGCTTCATGACCCTGCGAAAAGTCATTTTTCTGTTTTGAATTTTGCCCCAAGGGACAAGGGTACAAAAACAAACAGGGGAAACTCCTTTCAAGGTAACTGGAAGCACATTTATCTATTTTTCATTATTAGAGAAATGTTGTCAGTCACATGCCTGGCCCTGGGCAGGGCATTAGATATAGAGAATGAATGGAACAGACCATCCTTTTACCACATAGGATAGTGGGGACTTCCCACAAGGTCTTTTAGAGAAAAAGACATGCGTTCTTTTGGGTCCACCCAGACTCCCCTGGCTTGAAACTGCCTGGAAGCAGTGGGGCAGGGGTGGGGATCAGGGGACAATTGGGGACCATATTGTTGGGAGTCACAGAAAGCATTGAAAGGGAAAGGAAAGAATATTCTCCTTTTCTATCTTCTAAAATTTTTGGTGCCAGGACGTGGCAAGATGAGGGGAGAAGGGGATGTTGGAAGTTCCCACTGGTAAGTCCGGTTGGAAGCCGGACTCCAGGAAGTGTCATCATTGTGGTTGGAATCACTCTGATGGCCTGAAGCCAGCCTGTAGCTGTGAAGCTTTGCTGCAAATAGAGAAAACATGTCAGATCTGCAGAGGAGAGTTTAACTGACTGGAGGTGGGACAGTCAGTTAAATCTGCTGCATCTTATTACATTTCTCTTATTTCCCTTTGTTCCTGGTTTTCAATTTCTACCTTTCTCCAGTTACATAAGAGCTGGAATCTTCATCTTCTAGCATCCTACCCTTAATGAAATCCCTTCTATTCCTTTTCTTACTTATATTACACATTCTTCCACTGCCGCCCACCCCACCCCACCAGGCCATTACAGACGGCACGTACAAAATACAGCGATTCTGCAATTTCAATAAAAGCCATGTAATCACTTCCTAGAGCACTGCTGTGCTTTGAAAAATCAATATTCCTCCATTGGCAATTTCCCATAATGTGGTTAGTTTAACAAAACAAAATTTGAAAAATAAAAATGTTGTGAGAACAACTGTGTTCTTCCAAGTTCTCTTTAATTTCCTACCCTCCAGTGTTTTCTTAGGCTCTTTCATGTCCTACCTCACTGCTGGCGAAGGGAGAAAGTCAAGGAGAGCTGACCTTGGACCATTTCAGAAGAAAAAGTATTAGTCAGGGTCGCTTGGTTGTAAGTGATAGAAACTCACCCGGAGTTTAGCCCAAATGGGAAAGGTGTGGAGGGAGGGGCTGGACTTGTTAGCAGAGGGAGGGGAGAGGGGCCTGGGCAACAAAGTGAGCAGACATCTCCCCACTGAGACCCAAAGCAAGCGGTCCCTTTGCATCCCCACCCTCAGCTGGGCATTTATGAGGGTGGTGGGGATGAAGCTGGAGGGAGACGCTCTCCTGTTTGGAGAAGGTTTCTGGGCTCAGGGATTGAGGGTGGTTAATTGGGGAAAATCATCATCTTTTTACCCCAGGGTTCTTCGGGGTCCTGTTCTGGACTCCCCCATTTGGCAAACAGGAAGAGGTTTCAGCAGAGCTGTCTACAAGAACTGCATCCACTTTCTCACCAGCAGAGCTCCCAGCCGCCGGTCTCTACCCTGGAACTGTGCGTGGTTTGATCACCCACAACCTCCGTATGCCAACACCAGGGCACTCTACTGGACATACCTGACCTTTCTTTTCTTCTTTTTAATTTGGCTGTGTCAGGTCTTAATTGCGGCATGTGGGATCTAGTTCCCTGACCACGGATCTAACCCAGGCCCCTTGCATTGGGAGTTCCGAGTCTTAGCCACTGGACCACCAGGGAAGTCCCGCCTGTCTTTCTTCTTGAGACACTATTACCTGGGCATCTCCAGTTCACCCGTCCCTGCTTTCTCCTCCTGCACTGGCCTCTCTTCCATGCTCTTCGGCTGACTCCGCCTTCCCCGTTTGTCCCCCAGATGTTAGATCTGCTCAAGGCTGGGTCCTGGGCCCTCTTTTAGTCTCCGTGTCCTCTCGTGAAGCAATTCCACTGGCGAACATTCCCACTTAGGTGTGCCCTGGGCATGTCAAACTCAACACGCAGAACAGAGCCCTAGAAGCACCTCCTTCAGTCGAGTCCGATCCCTTCCTGCTACTCGTAAGAGGCACCATTGCCCTCACCCCCCTATCCTGTCACTGTTACCTCTGGTTACCGGGATCCGTCCATGACTCCTTGAATTTCCACTCTCCACTACGGACCTGGATCTCTTGTTGTTTAGTTGCTAAGTCATGTCCGACTCTTTTGTGACCCCATGGACTGTAGCCTGCCAGGTTCCTCTGTCCTTGGGATTCTCCGGGCAAGAACACTGGAGTGGGTTGCAATTTTCTCCTCCAGGGGATCTTCCCAACCCAGGGATCGAACCCAAGTCTCCTGCACTGACAGGTGGATTCTTTACCTCCTGAATAGGGAAGTCCCTTAGCTTGTAATTACCTCGTCCCAATTCCTTTAAGAAAAAAAAAGATGGGGGAGAGCTTTTTTAGTAGCTGCAAAGTTTTCAATAAAAATAAGCTCACCCTTAAACCATGGTACCATTGAACCACTTTTTTTTTTTTTTTGAGATTGAGCTCTGATAAAAGGTCAAATAAACTTGCTTTATTTTTCATTACTTACCATGAAATAGTATTCATTCTATGTAGCTTTTGCTTACTTTTCAAGCACTTCGCTTTTAAGAAAGTTGTCTAAAAGTTTTACGTTTGCATGATAAAATACAACCATTGTAAAAGTTTTCTTTAGTATTTGTATTAAGTTTATAATTTCTCTGATGAGCAAATATTTGTTTTCACTCTTTTTTTTTAACTTGTTAAATTTCACACTCATAAAAAATATCTGTGAAAGAGAATCCCAGGACTTCACGATAAATCTAAAGAAATGCTGACGTGACCACGTTGTTATTCTGAACCATCACAGGACACGTGCATTGTGTCTCAGTCACTACAATAACCCCATGGCTGAGTAGCACTGGTCCTATTAATATTTTTCAGTTGAGGACACTAGGAACTTAAGGAAGTTACAGAAATTCCCTAAGATCCCACAACTAGAGAGTGTAAAGTAGGAACCAAGAGCTGAGCCCATGTGGATCTGACACCAAAGTCCATTACACTCAGCCTCCCAACCCCATGGCAGAAACCACCAGAAACTGTGCTTTGGCAATAACTCAGCTCCCAGTTTTCTAAGAGAAAGGGGTGAAGGGACCAAGTGGTGTTGTGAAGTGCTAGAACTGGGGTGGAATTTCAGAACCAACCCCAGGGCCGCAGAGGGCGAAAACGTCCCGGCAAGTGAGCTGGGTACCCTGCGGTGGCGCCCCACCTTCTGCATATGCTCCTAGCCGAATGCACCCTGGAGAAGGGTTTTTATTCTCTTTCTAGTTCTTGCCACCAAGAAGGCTTAACCCATTAGGAGAGAGGGGACCCGCATTTATGAAAACACCTGCAGAGGCTTTTCTCAAGTTTCAATTCCTGTAAATACCAAAAATCCTGTAAGAGTTTAATTGCCAAAGTTTCATGTATTAAGTTGGATGATAAATACTCCTGCTATTGCTGTTAATGCTACCACTAATATTACTCTACTGGTTAAGGTTTTCTGATAGATCTAACTCCATTGTCTTCTATTGCAGCTTCCCAGTGGACCTGTCATCTCCCGGGTGTGATGGAGCTTTGGAAAGAGGTATGTGAGTATTGATGACAATTTACAATAAGGAAGTTTTACTGCTTTTTATGGCTTCCCAAGTGGCTCAGTGGTAAAGAATCTGCCTGCAAATGCAGAAGATGTAAGTTCAGTCCCTGAGTTGGGAAGATCCCCTGGAGGAGGAAATGCAACCCACACAAGTATTCTTGCCTGGAGAGTCCCAAGGACAGAGGAGCCTGGCGGGCTACAGTCCATGGGATCTCAAACAGTTGGGCACAACTGAGTGCACATGCACACACACACACACACACACACACTTGCTTTTTATGTTCAGAATTACAAAGTTCACATTTTTAATTGGTACTCTAATATTTGAACAAGTTATCTTTTTTTTTAAGTTATCTTTAAATTATCGCTGTTATTTAAAGTTGGATAGTTTAACTATAAACTGATAGGTACTTAATATTAACTTACATCAGGACTTTTTTTACACTGTTTGCCTCAACTGATTTTTAAATAAAATTCATAGATTTCTTTTCAAAGGACAGAGCACACATACATGTGCATGACCCAATCGCTGCTGGATAGCCCAAGAGATATTTTTTAACCAGCACACATCTCTTCAGATTATTGTATTTGCTTTTGCTTTGGATCTCAAATATAAGCTATTTGCTGCTAAATTGAATGGGTAAAATGTACGAATAATAATTGACAAAGCATTCATGGCTATAGTCAAAGTAAAAATCCTTTGGAAATGAAATAAAACAATTGAATGCGCCAAAACTATTGTGAAACACAGTTAAATCTCTCAAAGTTATTGGAGGGGCTGTCACATCTGGCGTGTTGCTCTATGTCTAAAATAAATTTCATCAGCTTTTCTTTACCCAAGGGTTGATTTTAACTCAAAACACTTTGGATCCATACAAGTTGCAATAAAATGCAAGTGGTCATCAAGCCTCGTACAGTCCCAGGGGGCTGCATCTAAAGTCTAAAGCGGAGTCCATCCCACCAGGCCTTACGGGCAACATTCAAATGACGTTTTAAGGAATTTAGTTCTAAGAAATCAGAAATCTTTTCTGGTTTGGGTGTATTTTCTATCTACTGAAATAAGTACATTGTCCTATTGGAGGTTTTTTTTTCCATAGAAACCATCACAATAAGGAATATGGCTCTGCTGAATTCTTAAGAAACTTCGAACTCTAGTTATTTTTGCATTTTTCTTTTTTTGGCCCACAGAGCAATGTGCGAAACTTCCCCGACCAAGGATGGAACTTGTGCCGCTGTGTTGGAAGCAAAGTTTTAACCAGTGGATCACCAGGGAAGTCCTGCATTCTTCAAAGGCATAACAGTTTATTCACTCATGACTGTTCCTAGTCTCTGCACAAATTTAAAGACACTGGACTATTGAAACTACCAACTGGACCAGAAGTACTATTTTTTTAAATAAAGACTTTACTAGCAAACACTGGAGACAATTTAAAAGTATATCAATAAGGAATATGATAAAAGGCAGAAAGATCTCAGAGCCATACAATTAACTAAAAAAAAAAAAAGCTGCAAAGTAATATGTAAAATAGCATAATATTTATAAAAAGACTCCTTTAGCTCATACACACATGTACATACACTCATCAAATTGTAATACAGGCTACATGGGGCAAGGAGATGAGGATGGGATAGAAAAGGGAGGTGTGTGTATTACTTTCTTGTTTATTTTGGGCATGCTACGTGGCTCATGAGATCTCAGTGCCCCGGCCAAGGATTGAACCCATGACTCTTGCAGTCGAAGCTCAGAGTCTTAACCAGGACCTCCAGGGAAGCCCCTGTGTGTGCTATTTTGAAAACATTAAGAAGCAAAACCAAACTGAATGCCAACAGGCGAACAAGCAAACCCTGAGGATTGTTAACTACTAACTGTGTTAGGCTTCCCTGGTGAAGAATCGGCCTGCAGTGCAGGAGACCCCGGTTCGATCCCTGGGTTGGGAAGATCCCCTGGAGGAGGAAATGGCTACCTACCCTAGTCTTCTGGCCTGGAGAATCCCATGGAGAGAGGAGCCTGGCGGGCAGCAGTCCACGGGGTCGCAAAGAGTGGGATACGGCTGAGGGGCTGAGCGCAGCACAACGGTGTGTGTTGGTTTGCTAGGACCGTCACGACAGAACCCCAGAGACGGGGGCTTAAACAACAGAGATGTATTTTGTTTTCCCACAGTTCTGGAGGCAGGCAGTCCAAGTTGAGGTGTTGGTAGGGTTGGCTCCATGAGGCTCCTCTTCCCTGGCTTGCAAACCACGCCTTCTCCCTTTGTCTCAAAACGGCTTTTTTCTCTGTGTGGGTTTGAATCCCAGGCATCTCTCCCCATGTGCCCTGATCCCCTCTTCTTACCTTCCATCTTGGATTCAGGTCTCACCCTAAAGGCTTCATTCTCGCTTTAATCAACTGTTTGTTGATCGACTCTCTCTGTGTACATTCACACTCTGGGATATTGGGGATTAGGGCTTCAGTGTAGGAATCTGGGTCAGACACAAGTCAGCCACAATTCAGTATTTTTATTTTATTATTTTACTTTATTTTATGTTATGGGAATTACTAAACACAGCACAATTTTAATAAACATTTGGAGAACACATTTTTGTGAACCTTGAACACTGATAACAGACTTAATTGGATGAATTTTCTAAACCATTTAAACTAAAATTATGGTCTGACCATTTTTTCAAAACTTGAAGTATTTTTGTTTTAAATTCTAGACCAGGGACTTCCCTGGTGGTCCAGTGGCTAAGACACTGTGCTCCCAATGCAGGGGGCCCAGGTTCAATCCCTGCTCAGGGAACTAGATCCCACATGCTGCAGCTAAGATCTCACATGCTGTAACGAAGACCCAGTGCAGTCAAATAAATAAATAAATTTTAAAAAATAAATAAATTCTAGAACAGATGGCTTATGTGTCACAGTATGTTCATCTTAACAACCATACGGTTTTACACTGTAGAAAAGCTAAGGGTATACCAAAGATGACTTTCAAAGTGGATTCAGGGGTTTCCCTGGTGGCTCAGTGATTAAAAAAAAAAAAACAAAAACACCAGCCTGCCGATGCAGGAGACTTGGGTTTGGTCCCCAATCTGGGAAGATGCCACATGCCGATAAGCAACTTGTGCAATAGCTCCTGAAGCCCGTGTATGCCGAGAGCCTGTGTCCCACAACCAGAAAAGCCGGCGCAACAAGAGGCCCATACACTGCAACCAGAGAGGAGCTCCCAC